GAAAGGGGGCTTGCGGGACACAACTCCAAACAGTCCCCTCTCCCCAGTGCAACAAATCACCATGCATAGGAGTGGGAAGGACACAGTCCCGAATAAAGGGCAAATGGAGATCCTGCCTTTGCTTGAACTAACACCTTAACTCCTCATGTAATCATTTGCAACATTATTTGTACCCTCCCAAAGACCAGAACCCCTAGGATTTTCTGCCATGTGGTCTGCAAACTTGTGTCCTGAGAAATTCCCTGGTTTACTGGTTTAAAAAAAACAAGTTCCTTGGACAAGGACTAGAAGAGGAAACAGGAGTAGCAAGCCAACAGCAGAGCCAGGACTGGAATACAAGTCCGTTCACCTCACAGCCTTCCTCTACGCTGAGGGCTGTCAAAGTCCCACCAGTACAAGGAGAGCACTGCATCATCACATCACGCCCAAGAGCAAAGGTGTGGCTGGAGTAGGGCTTTCTTCTCCATCCAGACAGTAACAGTTTTAGCACTTGGAAACAAAAGTACTAATCAATCCAGAATAGGAATAACCACCTCAGAACTACGGAGGATTAGGAGAAGTGGGTATTCTCAACTGCCATTAACATGAGACATTGAAATTTTACTATTACCTCTCCATGAATGCCCTTATTTTTAACCAGCACACCTCTCCTTCCACCTCTCATACAAAGACCTAAGGAAAGATTTTTGCGAGTGCCACGTTTCAGACATCTGGCCTGCATATCAATGCTTTCTGCATCACACCCATCAACATGATCACCTCATTCTGAACTTGTTATTTTTTCCCCCCAATGCAAATCCAAGTGATTTAGTGGCTCCATCTGCCTTGTCAAAAGTGCCCAGACACTTCAGCTGTATTGCTCATTGAATTGCTTTAGGCATAGCAGACCAAACGTGAAGTGTGTTACATTACAGTTTTGCATCTTTATGGAAAAATGCTTGCTCTAAGAACCCAATGGTTCTTTGTATATTGCATTACATACATATATATTTTAAATAAAAAACTGGTCTTTTTCTGAGATTTTTAACACCACATTGAATTCCAAGAAGCTTGCAAACTCCAAAGATTGGAGAAAGAAAGCAAAAGTGGAAAAACAGTCAAGAAATCTCTATTCAGCAAGTTATTGAAATATGCATAAACAAATTAAGTATTCAGTTTATTCAGCAAAATACATGAGCACATCAAAAGTGTTCCTGGGCAATAGGAAAGCAGATAAAAAAAAAGAGCAAACATACATATTTCTTCAGATGCCCACAGTTCAGTATCATATAACTCTTTACTTCTTGTTGTCACATGCCGCAGACCTGTGGCCAGGATGCAGGCATCTGAACCCTGATTTGGGGCTTCATGGAGCTGTGGGGCCTCCACGCACCTCAGCTCCCAGCTTGCAAGAGGTGGAAAACAGTGAAAGATAAACCTCCATCAAGATAAACCCATTACTGACAGCAGGATGCTTCCACATGATAAAATACCAATCTTAAAAACACAAGATAGGTGCTTTGAGAAATAAAGTGGCCAAAATGTTATCAAATGGACAGGATGGATGACTCACAAACATGGAGAGCTTGATGTTCATCCAAGCGAACAACTCCTAGAAACCACTGCATGTACACTTAAAATCAGAAGCTGAAATTTGGAGGAATTCCTCCAAAAACACTGTGTGGGTTATCAAATACAACCAGAAAGAGCTGCAATCAATATATTTTTTTTTTAAATTACCTCTGCCATTAAGATTTCACTACAATTTCCACTTCTACTATGCATCGTTTATTTGAAAGGACAGGGTGGCTATCACTTTTCCTAATCAGAAACCAACAGTTCTGATCAAGAGTGGATGTCTTTAGTTTTATATCTATAAACTTTCATTTTTTTAATATATATCCATCTGTATATAAAAATGAGTAAAATATTTTGACACAATTCTCAAAGAGCGTAACTCTCAACTAACATTCACACCGGAGCAGCAACATGTCAGTGACTACAGTAGGGCAAGCAATTACTTTGCAAGATTTTTGAGGCTAAGACTAATAAAATTAAGAACTCTAGAATAGATTTTTTTTTTTTTTTAAGAAATTCCCTTCCTCACAAAGAGAGCATCTTCAAAGTACAGTAACTTAAGCAGCATATGGCATTTACATTTTCATCTAAATCTTTAAAGAAGCCCATTATTTCCTTAGATTTGAGAAAAGAACCCTGCTTTATTTCACCACACCAGCCATAAATTATTCATTAATTCTGTTTGCTAACTCTGTAACTGAGCCCAGATGTTTCTGCTGGAGAGGCATTCCATAAGAAAAGTTAAATATAGCAAGCTGTGTGGAAGGAACAGACCTCTCCCCCTTGCCCCCCCCAGCATGCTCAAATATTACTTGAGAGAAAATAATGAAAACATTTGAAAAATATTCTGAATATGTGAGTCTGTGAAATGCCACAGTCTGATCACAAAATTTCATGTAAAAGAGCCCCCACACATTCCATTTGGGTGTAACTGAAGTTACTGGTCCTGTCTCTGGGAAAGGTGCTGGCACTTTCACTCGCCAGAGTAAATAGAAAATTTACAAGCAGAGGAACACTCCTTGCCATGCATCATTTACAAATATAAATCAAGACTTAAGTTTTCAATTACAAGAAACACTTTTGAGCCAGCTACCAATGGCAATTACCATGTTGATGAAGAACTAAGAGCATCCCATGGAATTTCTTACGGAATTGGCATGGAAAGTTACTGGTGGGAATTTTAAATCCATTTCAGTGCTTCAGAAGAACTTCAACCATTTTACACTAGCAAAGATGAGTAGTGCTGACATTTATAATCTAACGCTAAGAACACAGTCCTGTTGAACAGAATGGAAACTACCACCTTCAGCCACATGTTCAGACACTGTTATGGTTTCTAATACTCTTCAGCAACTGTCTTAAGCTGGTTTTGAAATGCCTATTCTAAATTAGAAACTATTCCGAATCATTATGTAGCTGGAGACAGTGAAAGATGCAGGATTGAATATTGCAGACTCACATTCTTTGGAATTTGGAGACTATTCTCAGGCACGCAACGCTTCTTCAGTTTTGAACAATGATCACAGGAGAGATTTTGAGACATCACCTAGTCCCTTTGCTCTGCTCCAAGGCAAGATCAATCGTATTTAAACCACTATTTTCCTAATCTGTTCTTAAAAATTTCCAGTGTAACAGATTCTGTAAGATGACTTTGCAGAGGGAGGATATTTTGGGGAAGCTGTTACAGACTGGTATGGTAACGATGCCACTGCCCTGATACCAGGTATCAGCTGTTGTCATCCAACTTTATTGCACTTGCACCTTGTAGCCAAATCCTGTTGTTCTTTAACCACTTGTGTCCATAAGAGACTTTGCAAAATATGTTAAGTCTAACCATACTGTTAACAGAAAGCACCTTCCCGCTAGCTAGCAAACAGCCAAACAAACCTCGGTATATATACTATTAGCCACCTTAGAACACAATAAAACTCTGCTGGCTGTTCCTAAAAACATGAATATATGACTGAAGTCATAATTTTAGCATGGGAAGGCATACTAGCACTAGCTTTAGCCTCCTCAACGTCAATAATGTTAGGAATAATGAAGTGGTAGCACAGGTCAACAATTTCAGGGCAAAAAAAAATTTTTTTTTCTTAGTCCATGCTGCCAGAAGTTTTCTTTATTTCTGGTAGCTACTCAAAGTTAGCATTACCAACAGCTACCACAGCATGTCTACCACAGGCAATGACCTCTTCATTTTGCTGTGTAGACAGATCTTAAGGACATCTCACTTCTACTTCAGAGGTCAACTGGAAAGCAGCCAACGAGAAGAAAACCAGAACAAATTTTATTTAAGTCACCCCAGCAGCAACTTAAAATTGAGTCCACCTATATGAGGAAATGTTTCCTCTCCAACTCCTAAGGAAGACAGTTATGCAATGTAAAACCTAGAAACTGGACCCAGTTATAGCATGTGTGAGAGATGGAAGATGACAAAGATCTGCAGGCTCTCAGAAAATACAGACCATATGTTGAAACAGTGGAAAGTCTTCTGTGAAGTCTTTGAGGGGGGGGGAGAAGAGGGAGTAGAGCACAGGTGTGAAGCACCAAAAGGAGTAAAAACAGAATAGAAACTACATTAGACAGCCCATCTTGAAAAACCCTTTTCCAATATATGGGGGGAACATTATAGCAAAAGAGAAAGAACTTTTAATCTCCTTTGCACTGCATGAATTTCTAGAGCACTGCCAAGCAAAATTTTTTTGTGGACTGAAACCAGCACCTGGTGTATTTCCTGGTTTATGCATGGTTAACAGAAGCTGCAGGAAAGTTTCAGTTTGGACAACTAAATTTAGAAAGTGAAACATCAAATTTGATGCACTTTACAAGCAAAGTCTTAGCTACAAATTATACACAGCTAAGTACAATTGTTCAAAGTTACTGCTTTTAGGTTGTCCTTGTTTTAAGCAAAAACCAGGCCCTCATGAAGATGTCTGTATACCTAAATTTGTGCCTAATTATCTTTCTCCACAGCTATTGTGTTGGAAAACAGGGATAAAACCTTAAGTTAACAGGTACTCTAACAAGAATTCAGCATGCAGCTCACTTTCTAAAGAGGCTTATGGGAAAAGGAAGCCACACTTAAGACCTACCTGTTTGTATGACCTGTTACTTAGGCAGAAAAAGAAATGTCACAAGGAAGAATTTTTGGTGTTTAAACCGTACAGAATTCTATTAGACTAATCTACAGCAATTTAAACAACCCAAACCTAAAAAGGTCCTGAGAATCTCCCACTTTTGGGAGTCTTATCTGGTCTACTCACCTAATGCACACATATAGATGATTATATTCCAGCAGAATTAAGACCAGATGGGGTTTTGCTGTAAGCTTGATTATTTTTTTTTTTTTTTTAAGAAAAAACTTGTTCTCTGTTCATTTTTTCACAAAGAGATAACAAATATATTCAGCATCTTAAAGAAGGAAAGAAGAAAAGAACGTTTACTTTGGTTGTGCTAAGCAGCCAGGTGCTATAATACTGCAAGTTTCATCTGTAGTCTGCAGTGCTGTAAGTTCTGCCATGTTAACCATCACATCGGTCTTGTGGCCGGGAAGCTTGGGAAGCACGGAAAGTATCTTCTCTGCAAGATTGTCACCATGATGACCAACTGCTCCTGGGGGGAGAAAAAGACACCAAAACTGTCAGATATATAACTAGAAGAAAAAAAACAAACAACAAAAACAACACAACACAAAAACCACAAGGAATTCAGAGCAAAATAATAACCATGTTTTGGTGAGAAGGACACTGGTAGTCATAACAAGAAGACCACATTTAGCTTTTCAAAGTTATTTTGCTATAAAAGTAAAATTAATTTCTGGAATGTTTGAAGTTAAAAGCATTGATAACATTTCAGAAAGATTCATTTAAAAAGCATAAATTAGACTTAATTTTACAGCTGTTAGATATTCATTGATTTTGCACTTAAACCTGCAAAATGTTTCTCTTTGCATAAGAAACTTGTTAAACAAGATTTGCAATGGTTATTAAAAAAACACAGGCAAACATTCATAATATAGTCACATGCAAAGTATACTCTTCTACCTAAACTAACAGGACTGTGCTTAAAAGGGCTGTATGCAAGTTGACTACATAGCTACCCAAATAGGCTAGCATAATATCAAAATAACAAATTACCAAAGTAAACAATTACCAATGACATGTCACTGTCAAGATCATTGCTTCTATATGGACTGAGGGCAGCTCAGGTGAAACCAACACAAAATAACTAAACCAACCCAAGTTACATAGTATAAAATGGCATTTTGACCATGTTCCAAGAGAAACTCCAAATTCCAGTTGGCACGTTTTCTCCAATTCTCTTGATTTCAAACACACATGCTCTTCTTTCCATTCACAAACTCTCAACACAGGCGCTACAACCAACTGACAAAATATTAAGACTGTGAACCAAGCCAAAGCAGAAAAACATGACACACACTACAGATGAAAAAGTCAGAGAGGGCGACCAGAAACCTTATTGCCTTTAAGTCAGGAACAAGTTGAAGGTATTTGTATTCTGCCACTTTAGCTATGGTTCAGCTATTACCACAGGGCTGGATACCAGTCCTGAGCTTAGTATTGTGCTCCTGGTTTTACTCACAGGAGAATGCGGACTTCTGAAGCCACCACTGAGAGGCAGGAAAAAGATCTTTCAGGCTATGGTCCCACTCCCATCAAAGTCTGTCCATGTGGCACCCTATCTGCTCTCACTTTTCATCATTTCCAAAGACAGAGGAGGTCTGTTTCAACAGCTGAAGTAGCTTCACATGCTCCATAAATCCAAACAAGGCCCTTACATCAAGAACATCAGTGGGGTCAGATTATTAACTGCTCTTGGATAAGCAGAAGGTTGCCTCTGGTATGTCTACAGCAGCCAGGTATCCATGCTGTAAAACCACCTCATGGTTTGTCAACTATTCTGACTTGTAGAAGAAGTTGAAAAGAGAAGCAAGGATGAAAAGGGAGGAGAAAAGTAAAGTCAAACTCCATGCTGGCAATGCCTCTATCCACAGAAGGCAAGGAAGGCACACGTGTCCAGCATGTGGTAGTACTGCAATGCGGACACCTGGCTGCTCAGCTGGATTGAGATTACCAATTTGTTTCACCAGAGATTGTAATAGTCACAGAATGACAGCAACCTTCCTTTCTACCATCCCCAGCCAGATTTATACCACTGAAGTACAGATGAAATGAGCTGGGTTGTCTTTATGACTCCCTAAGCCATCTGTTCTCCAAAATCCCTACATTCTTCTTACTAGGTCAGTCACTTGTCAGCCACACTGCAGTTATCAACACTTGCAAAGTTACAGACATGGAAAACAGATGGTAATCTTCTGAACCCACACCCCCACGTACTGGAAGCAACGTCTATGTCTCCACACTTGCTGCACGTGAGCAACATTTAGCTAGACAAGACATTTAGCTAAACTGGAAACACCTCAAATGCAAGTAAACCCACATTAATTATTAATATCCCTCCTTTCTCCTTGGCACAGGGGGAAGTCTTGGCACATTCGAGTTGCTTCCATGATCAGCCAGTGTCATCTCAGTCTCCTTCCCACAACTGCTACTCCTTGGAGGCTCCCACTGGTCCACAGGTGCTAATGGCTTTTGCTGTGACTTACCAAATCAATCAGAAAACATCTCCTGGAGGTTTTAAAAATCGCTATCACTGCTGACCAACTACACAAAGCAACCAAGGCTGGAAAGACAGTTAAACTTCAGAAGATTAGGACAGGAAATTGCACTGACTTCAGCAGGGTGTATGGCACTGGTTTCCATCCTCTCTCCTCATCACTGTTGAGGACAGTCAACAGGCTGCTCAGCAGCTTCTCATGACCAATGGTGGTCAAGGCAGCTGGCGGTTTTTAATGCTGCCACTGTGCACAGAGATCAGGTGTTAAAGTGACAAGGAGAAGTTATGTGACCAATGCAAAACAGGAGTCTTCATGCTAATATCCAGCCTTGAGGATACAGGAAATCTTATGTATCATGCTGTTCTAATTTTACTTTTTCTTCTCATTAAGAGTTACAAACTGTAATATGTGACATTTGATACAGGTTGTAGCTGTCAGAATTGGCAAAGGCGACCAACCAGTTCCTTAGGAATGAGCCAGGAACTCATTAACTACACCCTCCCTTCCCCCCAAAAGGCATCAATGACACGCATACAAGAAAATATTTTCCTAAGCCCATTACCAGCCCTATATCACACCATTTGTACTGCAATTCTTACATTCTCCTACTGGTTCTACTATCTGGTTCAAAAACAAAACAAACAAACAAAAAGCAGATTTAAGGGGCAATTGCACATCACAGAAGCAACATGAGAGCTTGGGTAATGGGAAGACTTCAATGTCAGCAGCTAAACACAAGGAGCTTGAAGTAGAAAACAGTTCTTCTACAAAGGCATTGCTCACTAGCCAACAACTAATGCAGCTAATTTCTGCTGGGGGCTTTTCCTTCAATCAGAGGTTACATGTAAGTCAGTGTGCACCAAAACAGTATGCAAGGTGTATCTTGCCCCCACTATCAAGCTTTCTCAACATCTGCTGTTTTAACTACTTTGTAGATTAGTTCAGAACTGGTGATTTTGGAAAGATACACAGACAAACCCATCCCAGTTTTCCTGATGTTTCAACACTACACATTCACCCAATGCTTTTCTGAATAACATCACCACTAGGAAGACTTTACACTAAAGGACTCTACCAGGACAATTTCTGTGATGCAACTTTCTTAGGGAATGCATCACCCCAGTGAGTGCAGGGTTTAAAATATCAGAAGGCACAAACGTTTACACCTATTCCCTTGAAAGACGCTGGATATTTGGAGTTCCAGTTCCAAAGCTTATCAATGTTCTGCCATATTCTTTCATCCAGATCATCATCAGCTTAAGCTGACCTTGTTAAACAGTGCTGGAGAGCAGCCTGTATGTTCCCAGGAACCATTGTGCAGCATTCAAGGCAAACTAGAGCATCCTTCTGCCCTGCCAAAAGACAGATCTACATTCTTCTTTGTACAGACAAAGGAACATCAAAGTAGTCAGTTATCTGTCCCACTATGCTGGCTACTGAATCTTAAAAAAAAAAACACCACACAAAAAAAACCCCAAATCCCAACCAACAAAAAAAACAATCAAACAACAAAAAAACCCCCAAACAAAACCACAACCCCCACTCAAAAAAAACAAAAAAACTTGTAGCCCAGCAGTAGAAGCACAGAAGCCCACAGCCAAGCACAGCAGCATCAGAGTGCTGCCACAGAAATATGACAGATTCCCCACCTCTCACAGCCAGCTACTGCAACATATGTAAAGAGTAGTAAATTTGGAGATAAGAAACACTTAACCATCAAGACTCATGTAATTTCCAAGCCCTCTGCACTGACCCAGCCACCTGCAGTTTTCTTTAAATAGGCAAAACTCATTCCATTTATTTGCTTATCTCTGTAAAGCCTCTATAAGAAATTTAACATCTGAAGCATTTAAAAACCTATTATAAAAATTTGTGTGCCTATTCCACAATAGCAGAATCTTTACAAACCACAGCATAGCAGAAGCTGCACCCTGACCCGCAGCACTGAGTTGACACCACTTGAATATTTTCAGCTGCCATCACTCCTCACAGCTGTAGTCTACAACCTCAAGTAACTACAATAATTTAAGCATCAGTTGCTTCCTATGTCAAAGCCCCAGCCTGGTTCATAAAGAGGGGACTACTGTACTCTACAGGCCTCAGTATTTATGTTTTCAAGACCTCAGCTTATATGGTAATGAAGAAAAAAACATGGGTTTGTTTCCTTTAAAAAGGCATTAGTGTCAATCCACCAATGCATCAACTTGGAAGATGCCGCAATCAAAGAAAGCATGAGTAAAGCACTGCAAATTAGAAACATGACAGAGATAATGAAAGAAATAGACAATTACAAACAAACAGTTTAAAACAAAAATAATCAAAAGGAGATATTAGTCAGAACCAGACTTTACCAGAAAGGCATGGGTCTACATTAGTCTTCACTCTTATCCTCCTCTATGAATGGCATTACGTGCTAGGGCAATTAAAGCACACCACAACTTTCTCATCACTGTGGCTGCTCCCAGAAACTGAAAGGGTATAGTATCCACACTTCATGGATAAGTGCCTGAACTGTGCACTTTGTATCTGTTACAAGGCTGAAAACATTACAACCAATGCAAGGGTGTGATGCAAAAATGATGCCTGGCTGACAGTGAGGGCGATAATACAGAAAGTTAAACCTGAGTTTGCAGCCTTGGCTGTGGGGAAACATTCCTGTGATTTTGACCGATACATGCAAAAGCGCTAGGGGAAGATAAAAGTGCTGTTGCTGCCGGCACTGAAATACCCAACTTCAACACTCCTCACACAAAGGTTATTATTCAAAGCCATACATTAACTGCACAGGCACCCCCCTGCTATTCATTCTTCTCTGTCTTTTGCTCACTGTACTGCATTTCAAAATCACCTGCACTTACCAGTGGGTGAGACCTCCCTATTCCCTGCACTTAAAACAGCCCACGTCCCAAATACTGCAAAGCACCAAGGGACTGGAAAGAGAAACGCATCAAGCTGTTCTGAACACCAATATCTGAAAGGTATCAATGAGCTTATGAATGAAAAAGGAAATCTGGGAAGCTGGAAAAACTGCTTCATAAAAGGTGTGAATGCTGGCAGGGTGGTGACTAAGAAACACATGGAAGGAGCATGGGGCTACAATATGGTATTGCAACGCAAATATTTAGGGGCGCAAATATTAAAGGAGAAAAATAAAGGGGAATTAAGGTGCCAGAGTTAGCTCTGACTTTAACCAGTGTCATTTATGAGAGCACCACCCTAGCTGGGAGGATTTACTCTGCTTTTTAAAGCTAAGTTAGTGAACTTTAAAACAGTAAGTAGGCAAAAGAAAGAAGCACTACACATACATACAGCACCAGTAACAAAGTTTTATACAATCAGAATTCAAGAAATGAGCACACAGTACTAAGCCTGTGATCTCCTCTGGGCATAAAAATACATGTCCCACTTTCCAGGGCACTGCTTTATCCACAAGATCCTACACTGCAGGGGTAGGCAGTATCCATGTCATCCCCAGTTGAAGCCACGCCACTGCAGTGAAGGCAGAAAAATCCATAAAAAGAAGATCTGTGTAACAGCTCAGTTGAACATTATGTCATACAGGACAAAAAGGAGAATTATTTACCTTAATTCAGTATTCTCCTCTCTACTTAAATAAAGCATGCATAAGTAATGCTGAACACACAAAATATAGATTATAAAAAGTATTCGATAGAGCTTAATCCAAATTTTAGAGTAATAACTCAGAAGAGATTCTTAGCTTCACAGAACCTAGAACGCTAACCTAGACAGATGCCTTCTGATTTTTTGATAGAAAAATGTACCATTTTGTGATTAATTATTTTTTAATAATTGTCACAACAAAGATAATACAGCTTTGTGTCACTGACAGAGGTTCTTTACCAAAATGTACTTAATACTTCTTCAGTATGTTCTTTAAAGGGGAAAGTTTTAATATTTAAGTACCAGTATTTTCCCTTAGTTCAGTTGTTTTCAACTGCAGCACTAGAAAAGGCACTTTTGAGATAGTTTGATTTTTACTATTAGTTTTCGGTAACACTAATTGATTTCTGTTTGTTATTCTAGGCTAACATCTTATTTGCTGTAGATAAGCATGGAACGTGAGCCAAAAATAAGACATCTGTTACTGCAACTCCTTTAGACATCGTCTAGAGCTACCTAAAGCTGTATTCCATTCAGGTCTTTTGAGTCAGAAAATATTTGCCTCCTGATAGCCTACTCAGAGTGATTCAAAGTCACCTGGTTCAAAGCAGTAGCCTGATTTAATCAGAGGGTAGCCCAGCACCTACCCCAATGAACATCCAGGTTTTTGTCGAAGTGGTTGGAATATGAAAGCATTCTCATAATTCATGGATACATAACCATTTCTCATATCTGCAGCCCACATGTTGGACAAGATTCAGGTATCAATAAGACATTCACAAATTAAATGCAAAATCTTTCATCTTTAGAGAGGGGAGATTTAAAAAGTTTTTTTAAATGAGCTGCAAATGAGAAAGTCTACCTCAAAGACTTCCACCTGCACTGAGCTGTTATTTGAGAAAAAAAAATTATTTTTACACTGCTGACTGCAAATACATACCATAGCTTGAAAAAAAAATCCAGTGACCCAGTTGCCAATACCAAGCTGGGAACTTGCAGATAGGAAACTTTAGATTTACAAAGTGTAAGGCTGAAATTCAACAGATTCATTCATTCACCTGAAGGCCAAGCAGTGGAGCTGGATGTAGCAGGCCAGGGGAGACAGTACATAAAGGCTGAACACACCTAAGAAAATTACGGTTTCAGGTACAACTTAATCCTGTCTTTTCCTATTTCTTGACAACTGATTTCACAACGTAAATGCTGTTCTTTTCGTGTACTTTTTACTGTAGAATTTCCATCAAACCAATGAAACAAATCTTACTGTGTGGCACTAAATTCAGGTCCATATAGTGCTTTACCTCTGAAATGTACTATATTTTTCCTCCTTCAGTTTGCACTGTACTTGATGGCAAGAGTATGGGATCATGTCCAAAGCATAGCAAGGCTTCAATGAAGCTGTCAATGAATTCTGGAGACATTTGCTGGTAACAAAAGAATGGCTGCATGAAGGGATCTTGGTCTCAGTTACAGATACCAAAGAGAATACATTCCTAAAGAAATCAATACTTTAATTTCTCATCCTTACTCCAAGAGCTTTGATGCATCCCCTCCAAAGCTGCCCCACCACAGCCCTGATGTTTTCTCCGAAAAAAACTTCTACTGATGTACAAGAACCCAGACTTCACTTCCCAAATTTAAGCTGGTACCAGTTATCTCTCTTCATGCCTCCTCAACAGTCTCCTTGTCAGGCAGCTCGCTGTCACCCACAATTTCCAGTTCCTTTTCTTGTTTTTAACTCTTCCCACCACCTGAGTGCACGAATCCTTACCCAGTTTCACTGGTTCCCACCCCCAATGGGCACTCCTCTCACAGTTTCATTTCAAGGCTCTTCATCCAAGTCCACTCTCCTGCAGCCTTCCCAGCAATCTTCCCAAACCACAGCACAGCATTAACCACCCAGATTCATAGCTGCTCTTCAGCACATTGTCAATGGCTATGAACCCTACAGCAGTGCAACAATACATAAAGCCAAAATTAAGGGTGGGGCAGGGGAAGAAAAATCAGGAACAGATGAGCTGCAGGTGCAACATTGTACCAAACACTTGCTATGGGTCACCTGGCAAAATTACAACCTTAATTATTGACCATATGCAATGCAAATGGAACCAGGCCCACATACTGTATATGTGAGCAGGTTTATCCATAATATGATGGGGTAAGTGAATGCAGGCCCTCCTATAACAATTATTCTCCGAGTTTAGTTTTCCCTGAAAGATGGTTATTCCAGAAGTGAGAGCCCGATACAAACTTTTTCTGGGTCACTGGCCCAGCACCTTCCTGGTGACTTGTTCAATCACTCTTTCCCTTTCTGACCTTTTGATATCACATCTTACCAACCTTACCAACTTAAAAGTCTTCAACTCACTTAGCAAGCTCATGGGTTGATTACAATACTAGACATTCTCCTTCCAACAGTTTCCCAGTCGACTCTCACACCACTCTCTATGCTTCCCAACTTTTGCATCAATTCTGCATTAATTGGCAGTATTAAATTTACCATCTGGTCCATTCTTACACTCATTTGCTTCCCGGAACGTGTTGTATAAACAATTCTGTATTGTTTTCACTCAAACATAATGTTTTCCCAGTTAACAACACCAGCCACGTGCAATTGCTTCACTCAGAGACTAAGCATAATGCATAGCATGTAAAAACCACATAAATATACACAGAGAGACACTTTCGGACATATAGATACAGCTAAGCGTATATGTAGATGTATATCTGTTTAGACAGATATAATGCTAAGGGCGACAAGGAGATACACTGGGAAATACCTCGCAGTAATCCACCAGGCCATTTCCTTCACGCCCTGGGATGACACACAGGCACGGCTAAGGTCTCTAGCATGCAGCAACGTGGAAGTGCCAGAAACAAAGCCTTGTGCTTCCAGCAGAGCCTCCTGCTTCACCCTTGGTTTCCGTGACCCGCTGGGGAGCAAGGATGTGTGAGCAACCGCCACGGCCATGGCGTTACATGTGCTCCCGGGCCACGAGGACTCCCGCAACTATCCGAAAACCTCCGCATGGGGTGGACGCGGGTCCACAGGGATGGCAGCCCCCGCCAGCGGTGGGTTTCTTACCGGCGAGGTCCAACGTCCTGTCCACGAAGACGACGGAGGCCTTGTGGGCGGCCGTCCTCCTCCTGTTCCTGGCCGGGGCATAGCTTGCCAGCTCGGCAGCGACGACCCTGCTGAGGGCCCCCACGGCGAAGCTCTCCTCCCGCAAGCCCAGGGCGGCGAAGAGCGCGTCGAGGTCGCCCACCAGGGCCCGCACCGCCGCCCGCAGCTCGGCGGGCAGGGCGGCCGGCCCGACCTCCGCGGG